TAGCACAGGAGCATCTCCTACTCTCACAGAGGACTGCACCGTCCTGTACTTTTCTTCTCCAGGCAGGTCGGTCCTGTGCTAGGGCCGATACGGCCACCTGATGCACAAACGGCGCATCAAAGATTCGACGGCCTGCGAGTGCGGTCACAAATCCCAAACCATCGACCCACATCGTAAACACTCCACTGCTGTCTTCACTCCTTTAAAGGAGGAGCGGACGAGATCCACTCTGCATTTGAACAGACAATTGAGTGGATAACAAATCTAAAATTACATCTTTAATCCGCTGTTATTAATCGATACGAAAGAAGAAGTTGGCCAGATCAGCCATGGTGGCCAGTTTCCAATTTGCTCGCCAAAATTGTGTAAAGTACACACTTTCACAATTTGCCTGCTCTTAATCAGTGCAGCTAAAATCACTCACGTCCACTTGACAAGCTCTACAAAGCAGTGTGGAGTGTTTTCAATGTAACATTGTACTCTGTATATTTTAATACAATCAAATAATGTATGGGAACCTGCCTTTGTATAGTAGGTTACATAGACAAAATATACATTCCATGGACCGCTATTCTGTTTGTCTTTATAATTCCAACTCTCCAGCCTCGTAATTAAAGATGCCCCCATCGCGAGTGGGAAGTCCATTGAAGGCGCAGACTAAACTGACTCTGTTGACTTCGAGTGTAATACAACTAATAACAATAACATTACCCTTTAGTTACCCAGGACTATCTTATCACGAGGTTCCTGAATTGCGACGTTTGGCCAATTTCATTTTTAAACGAGTGTCTGTCGTGCGGGATGAACTCAGAGTACGTGGAGAAACCCCACAGATAAGAGGAAGTGACATTCAACGCTCTCAAGGGAGAGATATTCAAGAATCTGTTGCTCCATTGACATCTCCTGGCCATCTCACAATGGATGTTGAGCTTTCCAAAAAAATTAATGGCTCTGGAAGGTTCGTTGTTTCCTGGGTAATTGTAGATTACCAATGGAAATAATCAATCTTGGAGGTCAACTGCCGGATCTAACAGGGTTGGACGCGTTGGCAAGATATACTCGCAATCATGTCTTGATTTCGCTCTTGAATCTTGAAATAAGCATGCAGTAAGCCTCTGCTTAGCATGGCTGGCTACGTACAGTGCGAAAAAAGTCCAACATACATACCGGCCAATAGCAGCCACAGCAGGATAGTGAGACCATGGATTGTCAGTATTACCAAAGGCAGATGAGCCTTCAGTAGACTAATGACATCCACATCAGGGCAGTGTGACTCTTGAGTAATCATAGCCTTGGTTAGCAGAGGCAGGTGAGCCTCCAGTTAGTCAATCACACTCACACACGTGGGAGATGAGTGGCTCCCGCTCGATGTCCTTTCGATCACTAACTCCAATACTGTGACATGAGATAGAATTACATTTCTATCGCCTTGATTAACTCGGCGATGGCTGTACAGAGTAAGCTGACCCAATCTTCACATTTGAAGAATCAGAGACTAGTGACAGGAAGTTGGCCTAATTGTTAATTATTAATCCAGATTAATAATACAATGCTTTGTGCATCCGAGATTAATAATTAATTAGGACAATGCTAAGTTCACATTTGGCACTGTGCAAATTCTGTACCAAACAGGTAAGGCAAGTAACTTAGCCTTAAATGCACAAAATGATAATCTGCGTAGACAGTGAAACTATGGATTTATGAAGGAGAGTTGGGAGTTACTGTATGATGACAGCCTCAGGAGTAATGGGTGAAAGAATGGGGCATCAACATGCAAGTATACGGGTTGTCATCAGAAATCAGGTGGCAAAGCATTTTGAATGCGTTGTTATTACAAGTTCAAGTTTATTTATTAGGTATAGCCCTGTGAGCCATTCGGCTCTTAAGTCGGGTGCAACCGCAACAAACAACATATGAACACAGAACATCTTAAAGCGACGACGCGTAACAGAAACATCCTGGAATAAACCAGCAAACATTACAAAAAACCTATTAAAACGCTGCGTGCAAAAATCCCAATGTGGTGCAAGTCAACAATACAATGGGCTTTGAGCATTGCGATGTGGGAGTTCAAGAAGCCTATCCACAAAATGGGATTGAAGATTACATCTTGAAAGCAACATTTATAGAATTCAGTGCGTTGGGTACGATACCCACCCATGATGTTCTCTTTTTGGGAACGTAGTTGCGCATGTAGACACCACCAATGAGTAGAAGATAACTCATCAACCATGACTACAGTATAGCGGTAGGCCCTCGTCTTGTCGAGGGCCTACCACTCATTAAATCTATCCTTGCAGGAATAACTAAAAGTGTGAGAGTGTTAAAACTGAACGAAGCAGTGTTCTTCCTAACAAGAACAACTATTGATACGATGTTTTGTGCATCGTTCATGTTATGAATCGCGCGTGAAATGATACGTTCGCCAGTTCCAAAGGAATTCCTATTTGGTGTATTAAAATCGAAATCTCTCCTAGCGGCAAGCAACACTCAAATCCTTAATTGGTAATATTTTGGGAAGCATTGGAATCGATGGACTGTTTTATAAAATAAAAAACAATAAAGGTATTGTAGTGAATTGAATTAGTAAAAACAAGCAAAATAAGCGTGAATTTAGAATAACTATCACATGTGGTTACTGTGGAACACAAACATTGTTTCTGATTGAGAACCTGCCTCGTAGCGCGTATGTGGAGTGCATCTGGCTGGTTTAAACTATTAAAAATATATTTATTTTAACAGGTAAGGCTCACTGAGATATATTGCTCTTTTTCAGAAGCGACCTGGCCACAAATGATAGCTCAGCGAAATGGCTTATGGGGAAATTTATAGCAGCCCAAATACTCGAAATGCATGTTTCTCAAATGTGGAGGGAAAAACCGGCGGACCAGGAGAAAAATCCACGTGACCACTGGGAGAACATGCAAGCTCCAAATTTACAGGCTTCAGTGTCGGGATCGAACCCACAACCTCCTGTATACTCAGGCGTGATAGGAACCCTGATGTGCTTGGGGTGTGTCACTTTTATGTGAACGCCACGTGCACACTGCTGACAATGCAACGTGTATTGTTACTAATGTACAAGATAAGGTGGTAGAGGGAAAACCATTTTCCGATTTCAAACCGAGCAAGAAAAGAATACAGTGGTCTTCCCCGTTGTCGAGCCTTAGGGCGCTAAAGCGAAGGAGTAGTTTATATTGTAAAGCCGGTGTGGAAGGGAGGGGAAGCGTATTTCACTGCTGGGAGAGAAGGGGGCCTGTGTGATTTGTGGGAGAATGGGAGAGGGTAATTAATGTGCAGAAAGGCGCCTTTAGCATTGCCCATTGGCTGAACTAACACAGGAGGGAGAAGGACCCTGAATGTGTCTCTCTCTTCGAGGGAGGAAGCACAGGTCGGAGTGAATCTTAATTTTGGAGCTTTCGTGACTGCAGGAATTATTCTTTGTTTCTTTCGGTTAAGTCACGTCTATATTTAAGGGACCGTCACAGAAACGACCCCTCTCTTTGTGCCGATATCTCTCTGTGTGCCGTTGTGATGTCTGTCTGCTTGTATGTCTGTCTATAGTTTTCTAGTTAGATTTTTGTTGCTATTTCTTTTATGCCTGATGATGATTGCTTGTGTTGCAATCGAAACGTCGTAATATGCTATTATTTTAATTTATTATTTTATCTTTAGACGTGACTTAACCGAAAGAAACAAAGAATAAGGTCTGAGTGACTTACAGTGGGAAATCTCTCTTACAATGTGAAGTCCACTAAAGCGGTAAGGTTCAGTGAGGACTGCATTCCAACCAAACCACAACAGAGTCTATTTGAAATCGGCTCTGTGTATTATTAAAAATAGAGAGTGAATCTTCACTCATTGGAACTGGCTTACCAGCTCGTTAAACTCACCACACCCACACCCACCATCGTGTTGTTTATCCTTTCACATGTATCAGTATATTTTAGGACAGTGATTGCAGCGCCACTTGTGAGTGATTTTTTTTTGTAGGGGGGGGTTGCTATGGTCCAAAAGTGCACAATATAGCAATGTCCTGAGTACAGGTTTGAGCATAAGTGTGGGGGGAGAAAAAAAAGCAGACGGGAGACTTCCAGAGACATTTAATTGTCGCCCCGCACGAGGCTGCGTTGTCAGTAGCGCGGTTCAGTGCCCCCCCGCCCCCCCGGATGGCACTGTGTTGCCAGTCGGTTCTCAGCAGAGCAGCAGCCACATGGTGGGTGTCTGCTGAGGCCTGCACCCCTCCCAAATCTTCTAAGTTTCATTAATTTAAATTTTTTACCTACGTGACTTTACCGAAAAAACCTAAGAATATGAATCCTTGCAGTCACGAAAGCTTCAAATCTAGAAATCTTACACTGGCTTCGTGCCCCAAAAAGCATCATGCATTTAAACTGAGACAGACATTCTGGCAGGACAATCGCCATTCATGTGTTGCAAGTGTCGTATAATGCACACGCACGTACTCTACTTGTGTGGTATATATACTCGTGGTATAGTTAATGCACGTGCAAATTTAAGTGCAATGTTTATAGCGTATTATTTGTAGCCAAATCTTTAATTTGTAAATAAAAAAACGAATTGTGTAACCGTGCGTGCAGATGCTTGTATGTAGCGTGTTACCTTTACCTTACCGTGTGTTCATGTGCCCGTGGCTGCACCGTGAATCTAGGAATTCCCTTAATGAAACGTTCTCGTGATTTACGTGGTTCCGAAGATCCCCCCCCTCCTCCTCCTCCCCCCACCGCACCCCAACCACACTCTCTTGCCTCCCCCCGCACCTAACACGGTACTTGTAACACCTGTGTAAGCTTACTGAGCAAGAAGCTCTGTGTGCCAAATTAATGAGCCGTAAAAGAACATGCGCTTTCTGACCCTTTTGTGTGTGGACTATATGCGGCTTTTAAATATCTATTTTTTTTATTATAAAGCATGGCAACATCCCTTTTGTGTGGGAATACGTGGGGTTAATGCTGCTCCCCCACCTTCCTCTGTTACAGTTGTGAAAGCTCTCACGAGGAGGAGGAGGTCATCCGGATAAAAGCTGGGACAGACAAAGGTCCTGCTGAAGCCCAAGAATTCTTCTTGTGACCGTTCTCTACAGAGCCTGCCTGGTTTCATCGTTGAATGCACTGCTAAGCCATGACCCCTACAGTCATTTGGTCTTCCAAGTAGAGATGTCTCATGGAATTTTAACATCTCAGTGGCTAAGTTATGAAAAGAAACGACCACGGACTTGTACATTTTTTTTTCCCGGAGAGATTGAAAGCACATGTTGGGTGACATTGACGATGTTTGACAATTGCATTGTTTTCACGCCATTAACAACCCCACAGTCTTCCCAAAGAAGTGGTGCTGTACATAGAGCGCGTACCAAAGTTTCCCAGAGCCACTACATTAAAAAACTTCCGTCGACACAACGATGTTTAGATTCATGAACTCTGTGACCTGCAGAAACCCGGCCACTCACCTGGTGACACCATGGAAATATTCATTTTGAAATATGGTACCTGCTATGTGGACTGCAATTTTAAATGACACCGGGTTTGCTAGGATTATGAGAGACTTCAAATGTACAAAGAAATGTAAAAATAAACCCACAACAACGTTTAGACACTTTGTAACATAAATTGTGTTTATTTTTTACATCAGGTGGACTTTTTTTAACTAGGTAATGTTATAGCTTGTTATCTTTTTCTAAGGCTTCTGATGTAACAGCACTGCAGCCTTACATTTCCCGCAGCAGTGTCTTTTTAAAAATGAAAATTCTAACAAGGACGAAAAGATCACTTCATCGTTTTTATTCTTGGCATGTGATGCAATGCAACATTTTTTTCTAACTATATTTAACAAAGGACTTCAACTGTATTATTAAATGTATGTCTTTTTTTTCCTTTCGTTTTAATGCTTCCTGACTACGGTTGAAAGCATTTATACTTTAGTTCTGTCAGTCCATCTGTAATGGGAGGGGGGGGGGAGGCATTATGAATCTCATGAAGTTGATCCAATTCGTATAAAATCTTACTTTAAATTTGCCTCGCTATTAGCCACTTAGTCTGAGAGAAATCCGGCTAAATCGATCAAAAAGGGGCTGACCAAAACGTGACGATAGAAAACCAGCGCAAGAAGGTTGATCTGTGCCCACCAAGATGATGATGTCACGTGTGATGTGCGCGCACCTTGCCCCCGCTTCCCGACGGCACCATTAAGTGTGATGCGAACGTGCGACGTCACATGACATGCGACGTCACATGACGCGTGGCTTGGAATGTAACGTCATTATCGCTAATTCAATACTCATGAGGGCAAACGTGTGTTTGGAAAGCGCATTCAGGATCCATGCACATTCATGATTTTTCTTCCTTGTAAGTTTTATTCGATGATGGTTCACTGGCCATGACAGATAATTTGTGTAGAACATATTTTTTTTTTACCAATGGATTAATGTACTTATAACTTCCGGTATAAAATCATATATTTTATTACGTTAATTAGCCAACATGATGAACTACATCATTTTTCTTAGAAGATAATAATTTATGATTTTAACAAATAGCCCATGATTGCAAATAACAGAAAAGGATGGAACTTTTAAGTCTACTTGCATTTTACATAGAAATAATTACTTTAATTGGGTTAGCTTCAAAGTGGTGACATTTTTTCTTCTAGGTTATGAAAATAATAATCCACTCCCGAATTTATATTGTGCACTATTCATCGGTGGCCATGGTTTGTTCATCATTTCCGTCTGATAAAGCTGCAAAGATCCAGGTGACAGCTTAACACCTTCTAATTCTGACAACACAAAGTGCTCGATTAGAGTTCGTGGTATGTTTGTAATCTCATCGCCATATCTGTAATCCAACATGTTTTTAATGATTGCCAACAAATTCCTGTTGTCTGCCTCTTCGTAGAAGCATCGCTGTATTTGTTGAATGTTTGGCTGCTGTGAGTGCAACACACAATCATTTACACACGACTGCTCTTTCAAAGATCAGAAGGCCTCACTGTATTTGTACTTGTGTAATACTTCACAATGCACTTAGGGGGTCGAGCCTCAAATATACTAATATCTAGCCACCTGATAATAGGTTTTTCCCTTTTTTTTGGCAACAAAACAGGTGTTAAGATGTTAAAACACCAAACGGAAACCTGTTACAAAGAATCATGTCTGCATTAACCACAATGCTTGTGGTCAGAATGCAAACAAAAACATACTCTGATAATATATGCATTGTCCTTGCAATTGATTGGTCCACACCAGAGACAGCTTTCTCTTGAGCCTCGTCTCAAATGGTGTTAGACCAGAGGACGCCAAAACCTAGCCGTCTATTATTTTAGAGGGTAAGCTATGGAATAGATTTACTTGGAAATCTTCCTTTTGACACTAATCCCATTTAATACCACACAACAGCCTAACCTCCATAAGCCGGAGCGTATGACTCGGGTTAAAGGTAGAGTACCACTTGTTCATGTTGGCACACTTAATCCCTTGTTAGAGCCCAACCTGTCAAGCCAGTGGGTAAACATCAGACATCAAGATACAACATTAAGTGTTTGTTATTAACATTTTGAATCCTTTTCTGTTACAATTTTACAATTTACTGCGATGCACTGACACACGTTATTTTACAGATACGTTGCCGAGATACGGCTATGCTCAGGACTACCACCAATCGGCTCGTATTGCAGTGCGCTGTGGCGATGGCACCACGTGCTGCAAATGCGGTTTGTTTTCTCTAACAGATATCTGTGGCTCGTCGTTCATTTGCGTTTATTGGCAGGCAATACCAACTCCAGGTTCGCAAAGTTCGCACAACCAGATAGGTAGCACCTGGAATACATCACGTCTATTTCATAATATCGAGTGCTGTCATGACGTTTATGGTTTATGTCAACATCTTATGCCCCATCTTCAATCAATTTGAGGGCAAAGTCACAAATATTGCTCAGTTGTAATTGTGTTTAGCAGCTTCACTTAGATCCAGGCAAATTGATTTGATCTGAGGGCATTAAGCAATTCTTTGTCACACCTGCCAAATTTGTATTTAATGGCTAAATCTGCGGATCACCATTTTTCTTATTTAACTTACCTTTCAGTTCAGCATATAAAGCAAAAACGTTGCAAATCTGAAGAGTAGCGTTTGTTCGACCGCTAAATCGCACACTTAATCTAGCTTTGGCCAGCACATCGAGCATCACCTCGTCATGTGACAGGGATTTATCCCGGTGTTCAATGTAGTTTCCAAGTTAAAAGCAGAATTGCTCGACAAACAAGCATCGTTCAGTATATCAACAGTAGCATAATGATGATGAACATTGGAACAACTATAGTTCAATAAATTAACACAATTATAATTCAGCCATCCGTGATTAGGTGTCTATTTTGAGAAATTACAACCGAATAATTAAATTAAATATATGTGCTGGTTCTCCAAGTCAGTTGGCAACCTTTAAAATAATTAAATACTTGCATTTCGAAAAGGGTTTTTTGTTTTCTGGTGTTTGGTCTCGTTGCTTATCCTTCACCGCGTTTGTTTACAGGGTTGAAGCGGAATGGCAACCATCTTTCAATCAATAAGTTGCGGTTTGGTGACCCTGCCCTTTCTCGATGAACACAATGTGTGCGTACAAATAACTGTTGCGTAGCAAACGTACGTTCAGTATTTTATGAGCTTTATTTTTCTAGTGGGAATAAAATGCCACTTCTCATCTCTGTGTGCCCTGGCCTTAAAAAAATGAATACAATACAAGCACTATATTGAAATGTCAATGCCCAGAAATGGTGTAAAAAGTGTTACTACATAGAAGAAAATTATTTGTATTGGAAGTAGTTATGAACAGTTTAAATGATAGAATTTCTGAAAATATCTTTGATATTTTGGCCACATTTAAGAATAGCATGTGTTACGAATTTATTGGGACAAAAAAAATTAAGTTGACTTAAAAATTCAGAAAGGTCCATAAACCAAACGTTATTTTTTCCCTCTTTATATCTAAATATGATTTCTAAACACAAGTGATGTTTGAACTACGGTGTTGCTGTAACACAATTGAACACGATCTCTTAATATAACCTTTGTTTTTGTTATTCCTGATAAATTGCCCATCGGTATTTGGATTATATTTATCAGTGGATGTGTCTATGTGCTAGCTCTACAGTTCCCTAAAGGCAAGCCACAAGGTGCATGTCTGCAGTTTCTAAAAAAACAAGCGAAGATGCTGATATGTGTTTTTTTGACTTTCCACCTGTATATGTATCACATTGTAAAATATACTGTTAAACTGCGCGCGTGTTTGCGTGTTTCATTCTTCATGCAGTCCGTATATAAAATGTCGAAAGTGAAAAGTCCAAAATATCACTTTTAATATTTCAAAGAAAGTTCAAAATCAGAGATCATGGTTAATGCTATTGATACCACCCCACCCGGCTATCATTTCTTTCTATTTGACAGATCCTGCAACTATTGCAAATCAATACCAGCCTCCGAGGTAACCATCCTCCTTCACCCAGCAAGCAAGCAAGCACTTTCACACCGCCTAGCCAAAGTTGTAAATAATGCTGGTTCATTATTAGTGACGATAGAGTGTGCTCCACAATAGAATGCAACTCAAACCTTGGTGGGAGTCTGGTTCGAAAAGGAATCCTAAGAGGCAGAAACATCTACCCATGACGTAATCGCCTGGAATGCGCCAGGTCTTGTCATGTCACTAATTCTAGATTTGAAGCTTTCGTGACTGCAAGGATTCATATTCTTAGGTTTTTTCGGTAAAGTCACGTAGGTAAAACATTACAATTAATGAAAAAAAAACCTAAGAATACTTGTCATGTCAGCTCAGCAGGGTTGTAACTTGGGAATTGCTTGAAGACCACCATGAACACACAGGTTGCCATGGGGCTTGTGGGGCTGCATGGTGGGCAGTAAAGACAAATCCATCTATGTACAATTCCATTGTTTTATACTTATATATATGTGCCGATGGTGAACTTGTTTTGCAACATATGTAGCCAACCGTGCTGTGCCTTTCACCAACCCGCACTGCATAACAAGTTCTAGTTCATTTATTAGGTATAGCCCTGTGAGCCATTCAGCTCTTGAATCGGATGCAACTGCAACAAACAAAAAACAAAAACATGAACAAAAAACATCTTAAAGTGAATATGTGACTAAGTGCAAACAGAAAATCCAAGAAAAGACAGCAAAAATATTGCAGAAAAAACACCGTACACCAACGCTGTGTGCAAAAATCTCAGTGGAATGCAAGTTAAACAACAACAACCACAAGACAGCTTAGATTAACATGGTGAAGTATGGTCAAGTAACACGACCCACACAGATGTGGCGTGACCCACATCCAGCAGTGCATTGACAAAAGGGCTGTGCACGTACACACATCTACCACAATTGCTAGCCATGCTCAGAAAGCACTCGGCGGGGCAGTGCAACTCACCGTGGTATCTCCATGTCCAACAGGGCATGGGGCGAGGTTTTCATTCCGCAGTGGGTTGACAAAAGGCCCGTAAAGTAATATAATTTTACTAAATCTACTTCGCATTTAATATTGATATAGCGCCTTAGCTCAAGGCACTTCACGTCACTTTCAAAGCGGTAACACAAATCGAGTGATTTAGATGGCAGGGGCATGCAAAGGCCGAGGAATGAGTGACTTCAAGAGAGGACTTGTGGGGGTCACGAAAGGGCAGACGAGGGACCGGACGGAGTGGAGGGGCGAGGGGAGAGGAAGGGAATTGGCAACGGAGAAGAGGTGAAGCTTTGAGAGAGAATGGAACGAGGTTAAGGAGTAGGGGGCTGCTCATGTACAGGAGAAGTGTATTCCAGTGTAGGGGTGCAAGGAATGGAGAATGATCAAACACCAGATTGGACACAGGGAGGAAGGACAGAGAGACGTAAGATTGTGAACGAAGAGGATGAGAGGTGACATAAAAGAGATGAGAGAGGCAAGATAAGGTTGGTAAGGCCATGGAGATATTTAAAGACGAGTGAAAGGTATTTGAAAAGACAGCGATAGTAAACAGGAAGCCAGTGAAGTTGAAGGAGAGGTAAAGTGTGAATTAAATATGAGTTTGGAACGGAGTGAGAGTGCAGATAGGGAGACCAAAAACATAGTCCAGGCAGAATCAGAATATGTATTTATACTGGAGGAGGAATCCGATGAGCTATGAAGCTCATTTTCACAGACGTCCAGACGAGTAAAGAGCACAGAATGAACCAGGAGTCAAGTTAGAGGGCGGATTTTCCAGATTTTGAAGAGAGGAAAGTGGCAGATGCAAGTGCTTTGCGGCGATGTGGGTGGAAGAAGTGAGGGGAGAGTCAAAGAGGACACCAAGGGTGGAGGGCAGAGGAAGCGGGAGTGAGGGAGAGAGGAAGTGAGGGAGAGAGAGGGAGGAGGGAAGGAGATGGTGGGAATGTGAGGTGGAGAATGTGAGACCAGAAAGACAAGTATTATGTATTTGATGGGTTTAATATGATGTTGTCAACTGTGTACAATATATCCTTGTGATATGTATTTATAAAAATGTATATATATAAGTATATATTTTGTTGTTCAGGTAGATAAAAAGAACGTTTAAAATGATAATAAATTCCAATACTTATTCGGGCTTATATCAATTTAAAGCATTGCCACGCTTTTCTGTTACAAGAATAGACATTTAGGGTCATCATAATCATCATCATCGGCCATAATCAATCCACGGCTGGATGAAGGCCTCCCCAAACCATTGCCATCTCGCATGGTCCTGCGATGCACCAATCTTCCGTGCTCTTGCCCGTGAGCCGATCTCCGATCGATCCGTCTCCGCGGTTGTCGGCGGATGTCCCCCGCGACGCGTGCTCTACTGCGGCTCTGCCTCGCCGTCGTTTCTCTCGCGCACCGGCGTCATCCCTTCGAGCGACGTGACCTCCGAATGGGAATCTTTAGTTTCCCTTGAGAAATCCGATGAGCTGTGAAGGTCCTTTTTTTTCGCAGACGTCCACTGGGGGCGAAAGTTACAGCAAACAATGGAAAAAACGATAGGAAAGGTAAACAAATCACAAAATAAGCGACCAGCCCAAGCCCACTTCATTTCTAAAACAAGCAAACAATTACGTCTTGAACCTGTTTTGTGTGCCCTTGAACCTGTGTGTGTACCCTTGAACCTGTGTGTGTGTGTGCCCCTGAACCAGTGTGTGTGTGCCCTTGAACCTGTGGTGTGCCCCTGAACCTGTGGTGTGTGTGCCCTTGGACTTGTGTGTGTGCCCTTGAACCTGTGTGTGTGCCCTTGAACCTGTGTGTGTGCCCTTGAACCTGTGTGTGTGTGTGCCCTTGAACCTGTGTGTGTGTGTGCCCCTGAACCAGTGTGTGTGTGCCCTTGGATCTGTGTGTGAGCCCTTGAACCTGTGTGTGTGTGCCCTTGAACCTGTGTGTGTGTGCCCTTGAACCTGTGTGTGTGTGTGCCCTTGAACCTGTGCGTGTGCCCTTGGACCTGTGTATGAGCCCTTGAACCTGTGTGTGTGTGCCCTTGAACCTGTGGTGTATGTGCCCTTGAACCTGTGGTGTGTGTGCCCTTGAGCCTGTGGTGTGTGTGCCCTTGAACCTGTGTGTGCCCTTTAACCTGTGGTGTGTGTGCCCTTGAACCTGTGTGTGTGCCCTTGAACCTGTGTGTGTGTGCCCTTGAACCTGTGGTGTGTGTGCCCTTGAACCTGTGTGTGTGCCCTTGAACCTGTGGTGTGTGTGCCCTTGAACCTGTGGTGTGTGTGCCCTCGAACCTGTGTGTGCCCTTTAACCTGTGGTGTGTGTGCCCTTGAACCTGTGTGTGTGCCCTTGAACCTGTGTGTGTGTGCCCTTGAACATGTGGTGTGTGTGCCCTTGAACCTGTGTGTGTGTGCCCTTGAACCTGTGTGTGTGCCCTTGGACCTGTGTGTGTGTGCCCTTGAACCTGTGGTGTGTGTGCCCTTGAACCTGTGTGTGTGTGCCCTTGAACCTGTGTGTGTGCCCTTGAACCTGTGGTGTGTGTGCCCTTTAACCTGTGGTGTGTGTGCCCTTGAACCTGTGTGTGTGTGCCCTTGGACCTCTGTGTGTGTACCCTTGAACCTATGGTGTGTGTGCCCTTGAACCTGTGTCCCTCTCCCTCTTTGTATCTCTGTGTAATCCCAAGCATACATCCCTCTATACTTCGCGAAAATTTTTAACATTTGTTACATCTTCTTCATAATTGTCTGTCTTTGACATAGCAGGTAATATGCAATGCTTAAACATTTTAATCTTTAGACACACTGGCATGTTGCTTCACATTATGTCAAGGTCAGCTTTCCGAAATGCACTCCAATCTGCTCTCATGCATCTCTCTATTTCATCATTTTGCTATTAGTCTGAAAAAACTTCCCCAAGTATACATATTTTCTGTGATCGTTTATCAGAACCTGTTGAGTACGATTTTATTTTACTCGTATTTATCTTGAGCCTAACGTTGCAGCCTTCTTCATTACGTTTTCCTAACATTTCCTGTAGTTCATTCCTATCGGACGATACAATAACTATGTCGTTAACAAATCTGAGACGGTTACTGTGCTTTCAAAAAAACGGAGATAATTATGTCAGCATTAAACTGGCGATGTTCATGTCTGCGTGCAATAGCTGGATAAATTATTGTTGCACTTTCCTTCAGGTTCACCAATCATGAGTTTCAATTCAGCCTCATAAAAATATAAAACAGGTACTCTGTGTTGTGCTGTATAAACTTAAAAAATATAGGTCGGCTGTCCGAAAAATCAAGTAACGTATTATCAGATTGATGTGCTCAACTAATCAGATAAGACGAAACGCTTTGGAAAAGAAAAGACTTTGCGTGACTCTGGCCGGGATGTAATTGGCTAGACTTGATGACGTCACGAGTTGTCACGCTGGGTATGGCTTGCCAGGGGTTTCCCACCTTTAAGAGGCACCATCAATCATAAAAAGTGGTTAACTGCAATGTTTAGTTACATTTTTTGTTGTTAAATGAATCAACTTATCATCACAGCTCTAAAGTTATGCATGTAACATCAATTCAATAACCTTCATTAGAAAAGGCGATCATTATGTGCTACCATCCATGACCTATTTTTGAGTGACAATGTTAACATGTTTTTATCCCCTTTTTAATGGTTCCCTGAGGATGGACCATTTTGTGTTGAACTGAAAAGAATCTGTGGATGAATTTTGCTGAGCCAAATGTGGCTTCTTGATGATTATCTAACAACCCCCATGACCGACACAGCATTATTCAATTCCAGTAAAAAAA